CTTTCATGATAAAAATGCTTAACAAACTAGGAAAAGAAGGGAATTTCCTTAACATCATAAAGGGAATTTGGGAAAAGTGCCCAGGTAACATTTACCTTTTCTGAGATGGTGATCCAGTATATCTGAGGTTGAGCTTTCGACCAGTGCAGCCTGAAGACTGGATATATACAGGGGAGATTTAAGTAAAAACCCTAAAGATGATGGCATTAAGGTTTATCATTGATGATGAAAGTTATATACATAATATGGAAAGTGAGAAGGCTAGAGTAAATTCTTTCGTGTTTGAATAGAATTAGAAGTATCAGTTTGATTACATGGTCTTCAACATATATATACAGCTTTAAATATAGATATGTCTGTGTATGCATATGCATATACACACATATAGCTCCTAGTCCTGTCAGCTCAAAGAACCCAGAACTACGGACTCCCTGGAAACATTAAGTACACTTAGCATCTAGAGCCTGATTTCTAAATACCATTTTCCACTTAAAAAAGACAAGGCTCTTATGAAAAAATGGCTAATGCCAGGGCTGGGGTGGAGGAAATGAAAGATGATTCTGGAATGTTTACTGTACCAAATGTAAAGAAATGCTTGAAAAATAATGGAGATATGTCAGGAATACACCAAAGGGTAGAGCCAGCTCTAAGGGGCTCTCACCAGCCAAGTTGAGATATAGCTGAAAAGGTCCCACAGAGATTCATGATAAAGCTTGTTACAACTGCCCCTCCCTTGGTCTCAAAACATTCTCTTTGCAAAACTGACTAAAGGGTGGACAGAACTGTTTCTAGCAGGACAGGCTCATATGCTCTCTCAAATTCTACCTGTTACACCACTACAAACTTCCCTTTTTCTCTACAAAGAAAGCAGTGCCAGGAAGGAGGCTAGGATTTGAGCAGACTGTCCACTTACCTCAGAGGCCCTTAGGACTAACTCCATCATGTCTTCTATGCCTGTTTACCAACCAAATACAAAGCCACGAAACTCATACGTTATCCCTATACCCACATCCATACAGCATTGTGAGATGCACTCAAGTCTGACACAATTTTATGACTGTCCTTGCTCCACCAAACCCTTTCACTGTTTGTCCTGGAACTCACAATCTACCATTTGGAAAACTCCTTGTATCATAAACTCCAATTTTGTTCCCTTTTTTGTCTAAGAAAACAAGACTATCTCCTGAGGACACCATTTCCTCTGCAGCTCTCACAAATGGTGTCACTTTTTTCTTCCAAACCTTCATATGATTGTGTCTAGAGCTAAGGTAGGTCTCCTTGCTCTTTGTTGCTTCTAGACTTCCTTCCATTTGCCATCCTAAAACTTCCGACTCCTCTGAAACACAGGCCAACTGACTATATTCCCTGCTGCTGTTCCTTGGGCAGTTGTATAAAAAACCTTCCACAAGTCCTTCATTCACAGACTTTGGCACTATCTTAAGTTTTCTTTTTCTGCCACTATTTCTGTCATTGTTTTTGACAATTTCAATATCCAGACAAAAAATGCATATAACACATTAGCCTCTCAGTTCCTGGTCCTGTCTGTTTCCAACAATCTTGTTCTCCACCACGCCTCAACGATCATTCCCATGGTTATATCTTACATTCAACTACAATACTCCAATACTCAATTTCAAGCATTCTGTAACTAACCATCACCTCTGACTTTTCATCTCAGTCTCTCAATACAACTCCATCAACTACAATCTGTTTATCTATTTGTCTAAACCAAGCTCACACAAAGCTGAAATTCCATAATCCCTCACTATAATAACTCCCTTGCCCTTTACTCCCTTCTGTGTTACACTCACCTGCTAAAACCAAAATCTGGTTAAAATCAACTGTTGGTCTTGTCCTTACCTCTATGCAAATAGCTAAATGTGACTAAAGAGAAAAAACACAACTATGCGAACTGGTCTCCTTTTAAATTTATGAACATAAATTTCAAGTGGGCCTTCAATGCTGCCAGTCTAATCTTGTATTTATTTACATGATCAATGTATTTTTTCATTTCTCAAAGTGATAACTTCACAACTTCTCCCATCTCCAAGTCCCCAGAATTTTCACTTTTTTTCTTGCCAACCAAATACTGCTAATAACCCTGCATCTTACTTCACTATAAAAAAATAGAAATAATTTCAAGCAAACTTTCACAACCTCCTACCATCAACTATATCAAGTGATTTGCATTTACATATGTATGTACTTGGCTTTCCCTCCTGTATTAGGTCGTTCTTGCATTGCTATAAAGAAATACCTAAGACTGTGGAATTTATAAAGAAAAGAGGTTTAATTGGCTCACAGTTCTGCAGGCTATACAGAAAGCATGGCACCACCATCTGCTTGGCTTCTGGGGAAGCCCCAGGGAGATTTTACTCACTGCAGAAGGCTAAGGTGGGAGCTTGCACATCACATGACCAGAGCAGAAGCAAGAGAATGAGGGTGGGAGAGAGGTGCCATACACTGTTTTGTTTTTTTGAGACAGAATCTCGCTCTGTTGCCCAGGCTGGAGTGCAATGGTGTGATCTTGGCTCACTGCAACCTTGGCCTCCCAGGTTCAAGTGATTCTCCTGCCTCAGCCTCCAATGTAGCTGAGATTACAGGCGCATGACACCATGCCCAGCTAATTTTTGTATTTTTAGTAGAGACGTGGTTTCATCATGTTGGTCAGGCCGCTCTCTATCTCCTGACCTCGTAATCTGCCCACCTCAGCCTCCCAAAGTGCTGGGATTACAGGCTTGAGCCATCGTGCCTGGCCAGTGCCATACACTTTTAAACAATCAGATTTTATGAGAACTGACTCACTACTGGGAGGACAGTCTAAGCCATGAGGAATCTGTCCCCAGGACCCAAACACCTCCAACCAGGCCCCACCTCCAACACTGGGGATTACATCTCAACATGAGATCTGGAGGGGATGTCCAAACTATATCACCTCCTGATATGGATCTATGTGTCCACAATACATCCTCTGACAAGTACACTAAACCCCATCCTGTCTTCACAACTTAAGGACCCTACTCCTGCAACTGATATCCCCTCTTTCATTACTGATTTTTCATTTTCTGAGTAATTAATCACATCACACTCCAATTTCTCACCTAAAGTAAGATACCCTTACTTGATAAAGGAAAAAATATGTATAGTATACTACTACTTTTAAAAATACTTATTTTATTTTTAAAATTTATTTATTTATTTATATTTTGAGACAGAGTCTTACTCTGTTGCTCAGGCTGAAGTGCAGTGGTGTTATCTCGGCTCGCTGCAACTTCTGCCTCCCCGTTCAAGCAATTCTCCCTGCCTTAGCCTCCCAAGTAGCTGGGATTACAAAAGCCTGCCACCACACCCAGCTAATTTTTATATTTTTAGTAGAGATGGGGTGGTTTCACCATGTTGGCCAGGCTGGTCTCAAACTCCTGACTTCAGGTGATCCACCCACCTCAACCTCCCAAAGAGCTAGGATTACAGGTGTGAGCCACTGTGCCTGGCCAAAAAATACTTATTTTAAAACACCTTAAAGACTCATAAATTGCACAAATAATATAAAGAATTCCCATGTAATCTTCACTCAATTTTCTCCAGTGATAACAGCTTACATAACCATCGTCAAAACCAGGAAAATGACATTGGTATGTAATATATTGCTACCTACACATATATATATATATATATTTTTAAGGAGGATAGCCCATACCTTTTCAAAAGATCACCTGTAGGATGGAGAAAACAAGGTGGAGCTTGACTTCTTTGAATATAACTTATTTTGTAGATTTGACTTTGGAACTATGTAGATATTTTATATTATTGTAAAACTAAATTGAATTTGAACAAGGAATCCCTAAAAACAGGCTAACTTAAATGAGTATTCACTTGGTGGTATAACCATAGAGTGTAACAACTGTAAATCATATCAAAACTCCATTATCTGGTTGTCTATCTGTATTAGGGTATACCCTATGGACAAAAAGAACTGAAAAACAATTTAAAAAATTTTAGTAATAATAATATTAGTGGTAATATTGGTAGTTTTAGGTAGTAAATGTGTAAGATAAGTCCGGGACATTCTGCCATAGTAAATACATAAGGTAGCAAGAAAGTTACCAAAAAGTATTTAAGCTGTTTCAAAAGGCCTTGGGCACCAACCTTAAGAGCTCTCCTTGAACAAAGATGGGACAATATGAGCATCAATAAAGACAATAACTGCAGTGGATTGAAAAACTTCAAGTATGTTTAAACCCATGAATACATGATACTTGAAAGCAAAACAAAAAAATGAATTATTACCAATGGACTATGCTAATGCACCAATTCATTCTTTTGAAAAATTGATTAACTAAATAGAATCCTTTCCCATGAGCTGTACTACTAAGAAATCAAAAAATGTGAGGAAATTTCTCTATATAGAAGTATCCAAGCTAGTAAATAAAAAAGAAATATTAGAGGAACACACCATTTTGCAACTCCTAATGAATTCATGAGTCTAGGCACTGAGCACGAATGACTGCTAACATCATGTAAGACAGCCAACCTCCAAGCAGAATGATTAAATATTACATCAAGGTTTTTATAACCAATACATATTCTATTTAAATTTCTTTCAAGTCAGGAATTCTACAAAACTGATCCATCTGTTTCACTTATGATCTCTAAATCGAGTCAACAAACTTTCTGTAAAGGGCCAGTTGGCAAATATTTTGGGGTTTCTCGGACATAGGGTCTCTGTTGCAATTACGTAAACTCTGTCTCTGCTATTGCAGTGTGAAAGTCGCCTTGGACAATAGGTAAATAAGTGGGTGTGACTTTATAAAAACACATGGTGGGAAGAATTTCATTGATGGACTATAGTTTGCTGACCTGCCCTAAATGATAAGGTAGAGAAATCAATGATTCCTAATGATAAATTAATTTTCCCCACAAGAAAAGTTAATCTGGTGATTATTATTCAGTCCCCAAATTGAAATTAGCAGAAGAAATAGTCAACATTATTTTCTGGCTGACCATCTCTTAATTTATTTTGTTAATTTAAAATGTGTGGTAAGCATCAAACGTGTTTTGACAACTCCAAGTCCAAAGTTTATAATTTTTCAAACTGTAATAAAGCAGATTTTATATGTTAGGAATCCAGTAATAACTCCTTATTTACTGAATTAACTTGATAAATACAGGTATAAATACATAGGTATATACACAGAAGTAATTTAGATAGTTGGACACTTTACCTTATCAGAAAACCAAATGAGCCTGGAATCTTCATAATACCTAAACATGCCATATTTAGGATCCAATAATTCCCTCATGATGAGCAAGAAAAATTCTTTGCGTACCCCTCCTGCATCCACAGCATCTTCTCCAACAAATATAACCTAAAATAGCACAATGCAAACACCAAATGGTCTGTAAAGAAATGAAAGTACATTCTGGAGACCCTATAACATGTTATTTATCACTAAGAAATATTCAATAATTAACAGTTTACATATATAATTTGATTTATTAAGTTTCAAAGATTGACAAAAAACAAATAGGAAAACTTTAAACATGACTTCTGAATAACAGTCCCAATTAAACAACAGAAAATGTGAAATTACCTTGAGTGGCTTTTTGTAATCTATGTTCTTTGTTTTCCTAAGGACTTCCATTGCATCTCCTACAATATTTTCTCTACGCACCACTAGAATTAAGCAGGGATTCACAGATTCAATCACTGGGAGAAAAAGAGAGGAGACGTTCTGTCTGTGGGCCTGATCAATAGCCATCTAGAAAACAAAAGATTAACATTTTAACAGCAATGCTACAATAAAGCTACTGTGACTGAAAGAAGCTAACCTCTACCGATTAGTTATAGGTATTCTATAATTCCTATACTACTTAATTAACAAAGCATCTAACACAGTATCCAGTATGGCATACAAACTTAATAAACTGAGCATAAAGAGTACCCTTTTGAATGTTTTTATATTAACATATAGCCCATAACACCATTAAAGTAACCAAGTATAGAACTATAATAATACTGATAAATCTGAGCACTAGTTTTCCTAAAAAACATTCACTGGAGGGTAGGGTAAAGAAGAGAAAAAAACAAACCTTTAAAGAATATAAGGAATAGGCCAGGTGCAGTGGCTCACGCCTGTAATCCCAGCACTTTGGGAGGCCAATGAGGACAGATCACTTGAGGTCAGGAGTTCGAGACCAGCCTGGCCAACATGGTGAAACCCTGTCTCTACTAAAAATACAAAAATTAGCAGGGCATGGTGGTGGGCGCCTGTAATCCCAGCTACTCAGGAGGCTGAGGCAAGAGAATCACTTGAACCCAGGAGGCAGAAGTTGCAGTGAGCGGAGACTGTGCCATTCCACTACAGGCTGGGTGACAAGAGCAAAACTCTGTCTCAAAAATAAAAAAATAAAAAACAAAGAGAATAAGAAACAATTTGGCTAAGGAAGTATTATACAAATTAACTTAATTAACTGATCATCCTATGTGCTCACAAACCAAGCGTTTGCCTTTTATCATTTAAAACTTTTGTTCTTTTCTTATGGTTCTTCCTGAGTTCTTGTTCTAAAATGGAATATCCCATGTTAAAATCACCAAGTTATTAACTTACTGTTTTAACAAAGACCTCCAAATAACTGGTTTACTAGCTGTTAGTAGAGAACCCTACAAAAATATTTAGAATACCAAATGCATTTATTTGAACAGAATAAAAATGGTTAACAAGATTTGAAGGTTTAATTTTTAAAAATATTTTTAGATTATTAAACATTCAAGCTCTTTTTCATCCTTTCCTTAATCCTTAGTTGGTATAGTCAGATATTCTATACCAGAGGAAGCAGCTCAAAATCTTTTTTATTTACAAGATCAAATGATAAAGCAAACTTACTGTAACCCTTTAAAGTCATAATATGTAGTTGTTTTAAAAATCCTCATTATAAAACAAAGAATGCTCAACATAAAATGAATGTGGAAGGGTGGTAGGAAGGGGAGATGAAAGAGAAATAGGAGACAATGGCGACCAACCCCAGGAAAATATTTAATACCTTATTATTAAAACTTTCTTCAAGGAAATTTCATATCCTCTTCCTAACAAGAGATCAAATCCTTCCTATTTTAACATCACCTCACTTCTAGTAACTTCCATCTGTTACTAAGTATGTAAAATGGGGACATATAGCTACCCAAGGTACTTTGCATACGTTCATGACTGATCCTAGAAAAATTTCAACTATTTATTGTCTAAAAACATGAAAGAAACAATTTTTTTAAAAAAGCAACTCAAATTAGATTAGTATTATACAATGTTTTACCTGCATCTGTAAGACTGCATCTGTCTGTAACAGAGTAGTTTTTGCTTGGGCATCAAATACAAATGGATATGTGCAGATTGTAACAGGGATATCTGCCAACTGGAAATAAAAAATTAACTTATTAGTACAAGTTGATTTGTGATATGCTTATTGTGGATGCTGTCATTTTTTATAAAGTTGACTTACATTCTTTATTCACTCATGTGGTACAGGAATTAAAAATAAAACATGCTGCTTACAGAATTTTTAAAAATTAAATGAGGCATTGGAATAAACCCAATTTGCAATTTTAGGGGGCAACTATATACTTGAGAATCCATACAATCATATACTGCAAGTATCTTTTGCTTACCATATATTAATTGCAAGTCTCAGTGAATGAGGTTACAAATTTGTTCTAAAATCAGGGGCTCCTATGTTAAATACTATAACCAGTTTTTACATGTTAGGGCAACAGCAACAACTGAGGCTAATGATAAGTAATCTGTCTATTCCTTCATTTAACAGATATTTATTAGTATAATGTCATTAGGGTGTCAAAATTATTATGAGTCCAACAATCTGTTCCTTTACTTAATATACCAAAAAAAGTACCATTTTTTATTATGTTAGCCTTTAAAGTTAGGAAAACTGATCTATTATTATAATTATCAGACATTAGACACTTTATAGATAATTACTTATCCTAGCAGGTAATACAATGATTGACTGCTTAGTATTTTAACCATGCAGTAAAATATAAAGAGTTATTAATTGCCAGTCACACATTCTTGTAGTTGGAAGAGGACCTACTTCTACCATTGACTCAACAAGACAATAATATCTTTATGCCTGCCCTGACTCAGAGTCCCTGCTATAAGACTTCCAATGAATTAATACACCATAAAAAATCCACTTCTTAGTGATTAGATAATTCTTCATAGTCTGAATCTGCATTTCTTTCTTAATTTTATTATTATTTTTTTAATACCAAGTCTTACACTGTCACCTGGGCTGGAGTGCAATGGCTCAATCTAGGCTCACTGCAACCTCCCCCTCCGGCTTCCAAGCGACTCTCCTGCCTTAGCCTCCCAAGTAGCTGAGATTACAGGCACCCGCCGCCACGCTCGGCTAATTTTTTGTATTTTTAGTAGAGACGGGTTTTCACTATGTTGGCCAGGCTGGTCTCGAACTCCTGGCCTCGTGATCTGCCTGCCCTGGCCTCCCAAAGTGCTGGGATTACAGGCATGAGCCACCTTGCCGGCCCGAATCTGCATTTCTATATATCACAATGCATCATTTAGTCTTTGTTTCGCCCCTGCTGGGAAGTGTATGTAGTTTAAATATTTGTAGTCCTGATCATACTCTCTCTAAATTGTCTTTTATTCCATTCTCAACATTCACTCTTCAGTGGTTTTCATGTGACAGGGTTTACCTCCATCCTATATTTTGGCACTGCCTAGCTAACAATCATAAAAACTAATTTTACTTCTCTGAAATTCATAAAGATTTAGATATCTCTAAAGCACCCTTTGGCTCAAAACTCTGTTTTCATAATTTTGTGCTACTTCTATTTGAGAAGAAGCAAATCATATTAGACCCATAATTTAAAGCCAACTCAAAATGCTTCACTGGTTCAAGTGCTGGGAAAAACATACCTACCAACAAACAAAAAGCATATCAAAGCAAAACCAAAATCTGTAACAGATAAAGAAAGTATTTTAAGGTTCCCAAGTGTTAAAAGGGTAGTCTAGGGTTGTTGATTACTTAAACCAAAGCGCTAGAACTTTTATGTATTAGAAGTGAGAAAGATATTCATACCAGAAGTTTAACTTTGTGACCATTTTGGGTATCAACTAATAAATTTTAAAAATGAAGCTCATTTTACTTCTCTGATATAAAATGTTTTCAGCCACATTAAGTAGGCATTTGCTAAATTTTAAAATAAAAGTTTGCTTTTTTATATTGTGAGGATAATTACATTTTATACTGGAAGATTTAAGGAGGACAGAAACTATTCTGAAGCAAATATTGTTGAAAGGCATCATATAGGTGTAATGTTAACAGAATTTCATTTTCTTCAGAAAACTTCTGAAATGTTATACAAGATAATCTCTACAGACTCAATTTTTAAAAAGACACATATATATTTATTAATTTACATTTTTTAACCACACCCCCCAAAAAAATATTTGGCTCTTCAATTACTTAGGAGAAAATGGAGTATATCTTACTCTGAACATGAGCTTTATTACACCAAACTTACCTCAGTTAATCCATGGTTGACATCCTAAGACAGCAGTGCAGAATATAACAATAACGAGGAAAGAGCAATGTTAGTGTCCAAATTTAACTATTTCTATTCAAGGTAGCATTTCATATATTTTGCTACAGCAGAATATTGAAGTAATGAGGTAGAAAATACATCTACAATAAAATACCACCCCCCACACATGTATCTTATATATATATATCTATAAATGTAAGATCTTGTTTCAGGTACCTTGTGATCACAAAATTACTGAGGTTTGAACATAATGAAATTTGTTTTCAGCATTTAAGCACCCCCATTTGCAGAATTTAGGCATAATAAGACAACTAATCCTATGCCTGGCTTGGTCTTAAAAAAATAATTTCATGGCTGTTTCTCTACCCAAAAATGGAAAAAGCATTTCTCAGACTTTAAGACTTTTAAAATCTCAGCAAAATGTTTGACACCGTTTAGTAGATTAAAATGCTATATGGACAGGAAGAAATAAGCCATATATTGTTTTTGACAGAAAAAAAAACAGTAAAACATAAGGTATCTTACATTAAGCATTCTTTAAAGCTGAATTAATTTAAGTCAGAAAGTACAGAAGAGAGAAAGGCTTGACAAGCAAAAAGAAATGAGAAGAGAAAGGCATATTAATTAAGGAAGTAATAGTGGAAATTATAATGAAAACTTATTAAACAGAAATGTACGAACGTTCCACATATGCTCAGAGTAGACTTGTGTAAAGCACCAGAATCTGAAGAAAATATGTTACTAAATTTGTGGATGATGTCTTGTGTTATAAAGAATTAATTTTACCCCAGAAGACGGCATTGCTCTAGGTTACAGGGAGGCGACTTACAGACCTGTGGAATATCATGCCTGACAGGAGTGTCTTTGTTTGCCTGGGGCTTTAGCCACTGGACAATGTGGTTTATGATAGTGGCTTGGGCCACATGCTGTCAGTTCTGCCTCCAGAAGAGCTGAGAACTAGAGGTCACCACATGAGCAGGAAGTGATTGAACCCCAGTAAAAACTCTGGGCACCAGGGTTCTGGTGCGCTTCCTTGGCTGGAAATGCTCTGTATCGTCACACATCTATGCCAGGAAAGTAATTCATCCATGACTCTACAAGGAAAGGACAACAGAAGCTCTGCCTCTGATATCTTTTCCAGACTCTGTCCTATGTGCTGCTTCTTTTGACTGATTTTTTTTTCACAGATGGAACCTTTTATTTGTCACTATTAAAAGCCTACATTTTAAACAGATTCTTGGATTTATACTCCACATCCATCTGCTCATATAACTTTAGCACCTGTCACACATCCCCAGTAGCCTTTCTAGAACTACTACCTTCGCCATGAAGCTCCCTGGTTTTCCCAATTCAAACTTGGGCATCTTCAGCATTTTTACTTTTCTAACAAGGACAAGCATGGAGAGGATAAATAGACTGGCAAGCCTTTTCTTTATCTTTTCCAATGTTGTGAGTAATCAATTTATTGACCACTTCTTTCAAGTCACTTGTCTGAACCTCTTGGATCATGATTTTCATCACCTTCTTTGGGATTTGACGGACCTGTTGGTGCTGAGAATAAGAGGTCTTCTGTATCTGACTGTTGCGTTTCTTAGTAAAACCGACACAGTACAGTCGAAGCAAATAACAATTAGTGGTCTTGACATTAACATGAACTTCTTTCATGATCTATCAGTTTTGGCCACGGAACTCATTTTGTCCTGGGTAAGATCCATGCTGTGGAAGTTAGGAAGTTTTGGCCCTGAATATCCTCAGTAGTCCGCTTGAATTTTTAAAATACAATTTCATCATTCTGCAGATCAGAAAGGTTCACTTCAAACACACAGCACCCTTGAGGCCATCAGATATAATTTTGGCTCCTTGAGTCCTGGTGACTAGTGTTTCTCCAGTATTTCTTATGCTACACATAGCAGGTGCTTTCATACCATATCAATTATTTTTAGAAAGTAGACAACCACTTCCTGGCTCCTTATTTGTCACCTTTCATAAGGTGCTTGTTCTTGCCAAATGTCATGGTGCTGTTCAGAGAGCCAAAAGGACTGTTGGCTGATTTTAACCCATTATCCTTTCCCTGTAATAAACCCTAATCATCAGTGTAACAATTTTCAGTGAGTTCAGGGAGGCCTTGCAGCAAATTATCAAACTTGAGAATAGTTTGGGGGACCCTCCCCAAATTCACAATTGGTATCAGAGGTGAAGGCAGTCTTGTGCGGAATGTTCTCTTTAACTTTGTAGTTGACTAAGTTCCCACATGTCACCCGGGTATTATTGGAGGATTTAAGATATTGGCAAAGACTTTGGGTTCTCTCACTATACTGTGTTAAGTAAAGCCAAAGCAGTGTAAGCGTAAGCAAAACATGACTCTATGCAAATCCTATTCAGAGGAATAATATTATTGACGAGTTTCTTTAAAAAAATTCCGAGTACCAAGTTATTACTACGTAAGTGCTCCTACTGGCAGTGTAAACAAGATGAAAGTCTTTAGAGACTGTTCTGCAAAAAAGCCTTTTAGATTACACTCAGTTTAGCTAGAAGTCAAAATAAAAGAACATTTGAAACCCTTTTATAGTATACCTTATGGGACGTTTTTGAAAAAATAACTTTATTATTTTAAAGTGGCTTTACGTTCACAGCAAATTAAAAGGAAGGTACAGAGACTGCCAATATATCCCGGTACTCACACATGCACAGCCTTCACATCACCAATATTCCTCCTGTAGGACATTTAAAAAGTGGTATTACCACTAAGAAAGTTTAAATAAGCAAAAAAAAGCCTATAAAAATTCATCTATGACCTGCTTGATAACTATACTACATACCAAGGGAGTTCATAGCATGGAAGATGGATTTTATTCTTAGCTAAGTAATGAAAGGTATGTATGCATTATCTTTTTTCTATTACATAGCATCTATATTAAATAGACACAGATGCTATGCACATCATTATCCACTGGGGAAGTCAATAAGATAATGTTAGAATTTATAGTGTCACTAACCCCATACTAAGCAGAGTATGATTTGGTTACACCAAAAATTTGGGGAGAAAGATGTGAACTGGTAAGAATATGAAAAATAATAGGACATGTGAAAAACCTGAGAAACAGAGGGATGATTAGACATGAGATAAAATCATTTTTCTAGGAGAGAGAGGCATCAAAGGGAAAACCAGATTAAGATAATTATTACAAATTTCAATTTAAGGATTAAGAATTGTAGACAAAGGCTCAAACATTTTAAAAGAGTAGATGCTAGGCAAGAATAAATTCTTCTGGGAAATATTAGAGTTGCAAGGTGGCTCAAATTTAATGCATCATACTAGTATTTCCAATGGAAATTAAAAAAAAAGACAAAGGGGAGCAGGGGCAGGGGATGGGCAGGATAACAAAAACGTCTTAAGTCAACTAAAGGTCCACTGCTAAAAATTCAGCATACTACTCAATGTGAGAGCTACTGCTGGCTCCAAACCCATAAACTCAAGCACTGTTAGCTGTTTTTAGAGTGGAAACCCTGAAACTTGGGTTAAGGCATGCCTTTTTGTTATTTTTGAGACAGGGTCTCTCTCTCTGTTGTCTAGGCTGGAGTGCATTGGCACGATCTCAGCTCACTGCAACCTTTGCCTCCTGGGCTCAAGCAATCCACCCACCTCAGCCTCCCAAGAAGCTGGGACCACAGGTGTGCCACCATGCCTGGCTAATTTTTGTGTTTTTTTGTAGAGACGGCATTTCACCATGTTGCCCAATCTAGTCTCGAACTTCTGAGCTCAAATGATCTGCCTGTCTTGACTTCTCAAAATGCTGGGATTACAGGCTTGAACCACCATGTGCAGCCAGGGCATGTCTAATTTTAGTTACTCAATGCCCTAGAAGCTGGAGTGACAAAGGACTAAAGGAACGTTCAAAAGTCGGGGTTTTATGACTTTACTAAGGCTGCTTTTAACACAAATTGTTAATGATGGTTCCAGTTCTTTTTCTTTTTTTTCTTTCATTTGCTCTTTATCAATGGTTCCAGTTTTTAAAGATAAAATAGATGCAGCACCTTGGCACTGCTGGTGTCATCTTGATTTAAGGGCATAACATGGGATTTCTCTGAGCAGTTACTAACCCAAAGAAAGTATACCAAAGTTACTGAAGTTATTCAAGTAAATATGAAGGGTCTTATTAGGTAAGAGAGAAATAAAAAGACATTTCTAAAACATAAAGAATATAAAAAATACACAAACATAATTTGATAATCTAATACATAAGGAAAAAAATGATATTATGATCAGCCTAAGAATCTTATTACTTATTACTGGATCCCTACAAAATATTAATGCCACTAAAAATGACTAGGGAGCTTTAAAAAACAAGGATGAACTTTTCTGAGCTGTGAGAAAGCACCAATTACTTCAGTCAAATTCTTTGTTTTATTAAATGAGAAAGAAATCTAACCCAGGAAAGTTAGATACTGGTATAACTTCCCAAAACTGGTCTACCCAGCTGTTATACTAGCCTATCTTCCTATTTTGCTGATGAACATCATCATGTTGGTAGCTCAGCACCTGCCCAGAGTGATATACAACTTAACACAGTAGAACAAATATGGTGATAATTTATACATATAGATTAATATGAAATGATTTATTACTTGTATAGAATATCAAAGACTGTAAAATGTTTGTTCACCGATTTACCATAGCAGCTTTCTTAGTACTTACTTGTATCTGACATACCTCTCAAATAGGTATACACGGTTTTAGAAAAAATGCATATGTATTAAAAAAAAAAGTTTCACTTGAATCTCATTGTAATTCAAACAAGACAGACCCAGTATAGACCTTTCTATACCTTATTGTGAATTAGTCAATTTTTACTAGGTATGTATGAGGATATGCATGAACCATAACTAAAAGTATTAGGAAGGGAACCAAAAAACAGCAAAGAGTTTGGTAGTAACCAATAAGGTATTTTTACAAACAATTTAAAAGCAAAGTTAAAGGAGGATAAGGAAACTGAGGATAGTACCTAGAAAGTGGAGAAAATCATTACATAGCAGAAGATAAAAAAAGAGAGGAAAAACACACATGCTCTTTTATTTTGCCGAGAGATCATAGTAGAGGGGGAAAAAAAGATAAAAAGCAAAGGAATCCACATGAAAAAATAATTTTATTCATTGAGATCAGTGTCATGGAAAAAAACACAGAAGATTATACAGTAACTAGCAAGAGTAAGAGAATCAAGCAGGCTTCACAAAAACACATAAGGGGAATGAGGTAAAACAGGATGGAGAATGGAAGGGAATGAGGTGAAAAGTTAGATGTTTTAGCAGTACAAAATGGTATTACAAGGAAAGCCAAGAATTTCATAGAATTAGTTATTAAAGTTTAGGGATCAGGGAAGTGTATACCTGATGGATTCTTAAATCCATGACTGGGAAAGAAAGGTAAAGAAAAAAAAAACCCAAAAGATTATGGCATAGAGACAAAATTTTCTTGCAGTGTTTAGAATAAGGCAAAACTACTAAATATAAATCAAAGAACATCTGATACAGTTCACTGTGATCCAGGCAAATATGATTCTCTATGACAATGTTTCTCAAACTGAGCTGGCAGATCCCAGGGGATACATTCTTAGGGGGTGTATGAGTGCAATAGGAAAATTTTAAATTTAGGGTTTTATGCCAATAATTTAAAGGCTGATTTAAAAATCCAAAATTAGGATAACCCATTTATAATCCCAGTATTGCCATGAATCTTCAAGGTCTGCAATGGTTCTAAATATAACCAAACTGGTACCAAACAGGATCTCTGTAATTGCCTAGGATCTTATACTTAAATGATGTGCTTCGTAAGTGAAGACCAAATGAATATCACAACTTATTCTAAAAGCAAATGTTTCATTATAGTGCACATAGAGAAAGGCAATAAGAGAACAGTGTTATTAGACATGTCAGAATAAAAGCTACTGACAAATCGGTAGCCTGTGTCAAGGTAGCCAGCAACAATAATCACCATTTTATAAAGACTTAACTATGTGCCAGAAATTACTCTTAAGTCCTTCACATGGATCATATAAATTAATCTTCTCAAAACATTTAAGGTAGGTACTAATATCCTAATTTACAGAAAAGAAAATGAAATCTCAGAGAAATTAAGTAATTTTCCCAAGGACAGAAATGACTAGATCAGGCACTCTTATGTAAGTTACTCTGCTTCCTTATGATACATATTTATGCTGTGAGCCAGAATTCCTAATCATCACCACATTCTCCATAATAAATTAATTTTCCAATTTGTAAATTAATTAATTAATTAATTAATTCAGACGGAGTCTCACTCTGTCGCCCAGGCTGGAGTGCAATGGCCCAATCTCAGTTTAATACAACCTCTACCCTCTGGGTTCAAGCCATTCTCCTGCCTTAGCCTTCCAAGTAGCTGGGATTACAGGTGCTTACCACCACACTCAGCTAATTTTTGTGTTTTTAATAGAGATGGGGTTTCACCATATAGGCCAGGCTGATCTACAACTCCTGACCTCAGGTGATCTGCCCGCCTCAGCCTTCCAAAGTGCTGGGATTACAGACATGTGGCACTGTGCCCAGACTGTAATGTTATTTACTTATTTTTTGAGATGGAGTCTCACTCTGTCACCCAGGCTGGAGTGTGGTGGCGTGACCTCAGCTCAATGCAGCCTTCATCCCTCCGGTTCAAGCGATCCTGCCTCAGCCTTCTGAGTAGCTGAGATTACAGGCACACACCACTGTGCCTGGCTAATTTTTTTTGGTATTTTTTTAGAGATGGGGTTTCACCATCTTGGCCAGGCTGGTGTTGAACTCCTGACCTTGTGATCCACCGGTCCCGGCCTCCAAAGTGCTGAGATCACAGGCATGAGCCACCGTGCCCGGCCTGCAATGTTATTTATAATTATAAATTTGTTGTGGTCTTAGAGTTCTTTAAAGAGCTAAGCACTAGTTTAAGAGTTTAGAACTAGTTTAATGTGTGTATGTATTTATATGATATGTAAGTGAACACTGGGTTTCTTAAGAAATTGTTCTTCTTTAAAAGGGTCTACATATCCCTCCAAATGTTCTGCATCCTTTCAAAAATACTGCTAAAAGACCTAGGTACCCTAGTTGGTGTGTGAGGGTATATATGCAAAGTCTTGGTATGAACAAAGTTCATCTCATTTATATTGCAATAAATATCTCTTATGCTCATAATGCAAAATTTGCATTTAAAGACAGAAAATTAGCCTCCATTCAAGTCTTGCTGGGGGAAGGTTAAATCCTTAAGAGATAGGTTATTTCTCCTGCCTTCACAGGTTCTCTGCAGAAAGAGTTTGAGAAGCTTTACCTAGGTCAGAGATGAAGGAAAAAGAAAGTATTTATTCAAAAGTCTGCTGAAGTCAATTATTTTCTTTCTTAAAAAATTATCCCTTGATTCCAGCTACCACTTCATTTTTTTTTTTTTTTTTTTTTTTTTTTTTGGCTCCTCTTCAATGCAGAACCTCTTCAAAGTATTGCCTATACTTTGTTATGGCTTCCTCACCTCTAAATCTCTCTTTGTAACACCCCAACCCTAGAATGGTATTATCAAGGTTACTGATTACCCTCACGTAACCAAATTAACTGTCAAGTTCTATGGTTTTATCCTCCTCCTCTGCAGCATTCAACACAGTCTCTCTTTCACTTTTAAATTTTGGTTTCCCTCTCCTGCTTTTCCCTCTACCACACCTGCTTTTTAATCTTTGTGGATTTCTCTACTTTCCTCATCTCATATCCAAACCATCAGTAATTTTTAACTTCCCTTTGTCTCCAAGATTCTCTTTTATCTCCAAGATGTATTCCAAGTCCACTTCCTTCTTCTATCTACACAACTACCATCCTAGTCAAACCTATAATTTCCTTTCCCCTAATCTACTAAAATATAGTTTTCTCATGGGTCTCCCTCTTTCATTTCTGTCCCATTCTACACATAACCAACAAAGTGATTATTCAAAAAGATCAGACTATGTTTCCCCTGTTTATTATAATACTTTAGATAAAATCCAAATTCCTAACCCTAATTTATGAAACTCTCTATGATTTGGCCCCTGTCCATTTCTCTGTTCCCTCCTCACTCCCATAAGCCATGCTGGCTTTTTTCTTTTTTCTTTTCTTTTTTGAGACGGAGTCTTGCACTGTCACCTGGACTGGAGTGCAATGGCACGATCTGGGCTTACTGAAACCTCCGCCTCCTGGGTTCAAGAGATTCTCCTGCCTCAGCCTCCCGAGAAGCTGGGATTACAGGCACCTGCCACCATGCCTGGCTAATTTTTTGCATTTTTAGTAGAGATGGGTTTTCACTATGTTGGCCAGGCTGGTCTCGAACTCCTGACCTCGTGATCTGCCAGCCTTGGTCTCCCAAAGTGCTGAGATTACAGGCCTGAGCCACTGCGCCATGCTGACTTTTTCTGACCTTTCAATCTTGTCAAGCTTGTTTTTACCTAAGGTCTTTTACTAAATGTTCATTGTTCTTGAAATTCTTTCTGCTCTGATCTTAAAGGGCTGCTCCGTGTCATTCAGATTAACATTCCATACTTCATTAGACAAGTCTTTTCTGAAACCTATCTTTACTAAGTCGCCTCAATTTTAATACTACATATTACTAGCTGGTATTTTTTGCTTTGTTTGACTATTGTCAATCTTGCCCACTAGATTACGAATTCCATGAGAAACAAGGCTCTAATCTGTCTGGTTCACCACTGTATTTCTAATACCTAAATCAGTGCCTGCTACATAACAGATTCTCATTGTTGAATAGCAAGTGAGTAGATCTAAATCTATAGAATGGCTATAAACCTGATCCAGCCTCAAGGTAATTCAGGAGAAAAGTCAATGATTCTCTCCCAGTCCAGACCCAAGTACACCAGAGAAGGAAAAGATGTCTAGAAGCAACCTGATCCCAGGAGGTGGGAGTATCCTAAAAACAGTATGTACTAGCCAGACTGCCATTCAAAGACTACTGTGCTTTTTTAGTCCTTACTAGACATATTCTAGATACTGTCAGAGGTGCCGGTTAACAACAGTACCCATCTACAAGGAGTTTACAGCTGATGCCTAGCAAGCAATGAAACTTATTACATAACTGCTGGACACATATTAAACTACCTCTGTGCAGAAAAGTGGGACTGAAGTATACTAAAATGGCTAGCAAATAAGAGTATTAAACCTAAGTATTTTGAATCTAGCTGCTTACCCATTTCTGCATTAAAATTTTATGTACCTAATTCAAGTTTTATAAGACAATGATATTATTTTAATGGGATAATGTCTAGTTATTAAAGACTTAGCCACATAAGAAGATGTATGCACACACATTTATATAAAAAATCTGAAATAAAACTAAACATATAATCAGCTCACTGCAACCTCCACCTCCCAGGTTCAAGTGATTCTCACGTCTCAGCCACCTGAGTAGCTGGATTACAGGTGCGTACCACCATACTCAGCTAACTTTTTGTATTTTTAGTAGAGATGGAGTTTTGTCACGTTGCCCAGGCTGGTCTTGAAATCCTGAGCTCAGGCAATCTACCTGCCTCAGGCTCCCAAAGTGCTAAGATTACAGGCATGAGCCACTACAACCAGCCTTCTTTGGTAGTCTTGCAGCACCAGTTTCAAAACAATAATGCATTTTCAGGAGTTCCACTATGAAGAATACCAGTATTTTCAACACTGGAGAAGTAAGAGGCAACATTATGGAAAATAAACGAATTAAAAATCCATGTCACATTTGTAGTATTTTTTTTCTAGTGTAATTCATCTCTTTGGTTTGGCTTTGGTAAAAGAGTATAATATTTGCATATAAATACTGAATAACATATAGCACTCCTTTGCAATGTGTTTTTATTTAAAAAGTAAGCTCTGGATAAAAGTTCTGAAAAAATATTCTCATTTCAAAACCAAGCAATTGCTTCATTTTTATTAGATACATATACATAAAAATAAAATCACAAATTGCACAGGAAACCTACCATTCCATAGGCCTGCTGTTGGACCCAGTTGATATAATCATTCCTTATGTCTATCAATTCTTGTACTTCATGTATATAAAATTTATCATACTGTATAATCTGTCCCGTTTTCTCATTTACCTACAAGAGAAAGTATAATTGACATTAAATTTAATCAGTATTCAAGACAGAGAAATTTAAAATGTCTAAAGAAAAAAAGATTTGGGGATTTTCTTGCTAATTTTTTCTTCCTACAAAAAATAATTACTGAGTGCCTACTATATGCAAAATGCTAGTTAAGTGCTATGGAAGACATAAAGATTTGTAAGATGTGATATCTGCAGTCAGTACCCCAAAATCTAGAAAAGAAAGACACATCTTTATAACCACAACACAGTATGAGATATGTATCAATAAAGTGTATATGGTATATATAAACTAGATACTACAAGGATTTATGGTTGGGAAATGGGACCTTAATAATAGCAGCTAATGCTTGTGAAGTGTTACTTTGTGCTGGCATCTGATCAGAATAAACTTTAGGAGGTGATATCTGGACAAGATGTGAAAAATGAAGAGGATGCAAATTACCACCCCAGAGATTACCTACGAAGTACAAAGATAAAAACAAATATTTACAGTGGAGAGCACCATCTTAATTAAGTGATCTAACTAATCATTACCAATACTGGAACAATGAAATATAATGTTCTTGGTGATATAACTCAACAAGAGGCATACGTATGATCTATGAAGTAAAAACAGTTTCACCCAAATCCAATCAAGTCTCCTAAATTCTAGTTTACTGCAAATACAAGGGAGAGAAACTAGTTAAACAAACAAATACAAGGGAGAGAAACCAGTTAAATAAACATCACCATGAGGAAATAATCAGACAAATCCTGATTATGAAGCTTTTATAAGAAAACTGGCCAAGACTTCAAAAAAATCAAGGTAGTAGGGATTAAAAAACAAAAAAAAGGGTAAGAGCTATTCTAAATTAAAAGAGACTAGAGGAATTCTGGTACTAAATATGGCAGAATACTTTTGTATCGGTATTAACAATTATAATTAACAATAACAATTATAAGCTTCAGACAATACATTAAAGAACAACTACTGTACTTAAAAACACTGGAGAGCAACCAAAAGTAGACAGAAACAGGAATGGATACAAGTAGAGGATATAGCTCAAGCAGAAAACAGCAGTCTTAACAGACAAAGACTGACACTGCCAGCACAGCCAGATAGTGAGGAATAAAAAATCAAAGAAAGGAATCCAGAGGATGAAGCTCCAAAATCTGTGTGCAAATTCCGCCCACATCCTTGGCTAACTCTAAACCATGAATGCACAAAGACTTGCCAAAAATAAATAAAATAAATAAACAAAGCCCAAACCAACAGAAAGCACAGCTGGGAGGCTACTCTTAAAGAAAGGGTTCAAAAAAAGCATTTCCAGGGGAAAAGGGGCACATTTCATAATAATAGAAGGATTAATCCACCAAGAAGTCACAACAATCCAAAACAGGAGAGCTTGAAAACATATGAAAGAGAAATCAACAGAACCACCATCACAGTTGGAGATTAACATCCCCTCTCATTAACTGATAGAAAAAAATAAACAAAACCAGCATGTTTAAATGATCTTAACAGCAATTTCAACCAACTTACACTCACTGTCATAGAACACTTCACCCAATAATTGTACGTGAAATGTTCACTAAGATAGACCAAATCCTGGACCATACTGTAAGTCTTAATACATTTAAAAGAATCCAAAGTATACAACATATGTACTCTGTCAACAATGGAATCAAACTAAAATCAGTAACAGAAAGAGATTTGGAAAATCCTAGAATGCTGGCAATTAAATATAATACTTCTAAGTTACTGAAAACTTTTCTTCAACCTGTGAGAGAGCTAAAGTCACAAGATAACCAACTAGCCTGAATTCCAAGGATCAACAAATACAAGTCAGGGTACCAGAAATGGCTCATTTGTGACACAGAGCAAGAGGAAACTACTACTGTCATACATGCAGAATACGGTAAAATTTTAAGGATCACTTTAAAGCTGAGTGTGGGGTGCTTGACAGTATGAAACTCCGCAGAGTCCCAGGCAATTGGCATTCACTCATAGCCTCTTTTCCATAGACTGCCACTGGGTACCCAGGAAAACAACTGGAAACACAGCAGAGGGGGTAAACAAAAAGAAACAAGGCAGAAGATCAAGAACCTCTCTCAATGGTACAGGAATTAGCTGCCACATGAGAAAGGAACGAAGGCCCACCAACCTGTCCAGATTCTTCCCTCACACAGAGCAAAAGCCTTGAGCCACTGAGGAAGGGGAAGCAAACCCCTATCTTGTTGCTGAGGGAGGGAAAAACCTTCAATTCCTGGGAGGAAAGGTGACAAGAACAGTCCTAGGTGTAGAATCTTCTATCAGTAGGACTAGTGGTCTACAATTGCTGAGGGAGGGAGCAGAAAATTCCACACAAAAAGATCCAAGCAGAGTTTGGCTGCCACTTGGTCAGTTCCATTCGAGGTTCAGACACATATAATCTACCTAACACCAAGGCTACATCACAACAACCAAGTTCCATTCGAGGTTCAGACACATATAATCTACCTAACACCAAGGCTACATCACAACAACCAAGAACCATTTCTATTCCCTCTCCTCTACCAATCTTGAAAGCACTGGGTAAAAAGCAACATCAGTTTACAACTGACAGGGGGAAAGAGTGAGAAGAAAACCCCTCTAAGAAGCAGGCATAAAGAAAGGGGCACAAACATTCACAAAAACCATTTGACACCCCACTTCTACCCTACACACACTATACTACAGGCCTCAAATTCCTCTAATGTTAGAGGCCTCAAATTCCTCTAGCATTAGAGGTCTGTAGCGTAATGAAGGTATTTACAGCAAATTAAAAATTTAATCCCAGCTTAACTCCTGAATATAGACTCAAATTCCTACACTAATACCAGACAGAAGAGGTGTACCCATTTATAAGTTTTAAACCTACTTATTTCAGTTTCTTACTATTTTATAGATAACCCAAAATTATGAGACATCAAAAATCAACTGAACAGGCCGGGCGTGGTGGCTCATGCCTACAATCCCAGCACTCTGGGAGGTTGAGGCAGGCAGATCATCTGAGGTCAGCCTGGCCAACATGGTGAAACCCAATGTCTACTAAAAATACAAAAATTAACTGGGTGTGGTGGCACATGCCTGTAATCCCAGCAACCTGGGAGGCTAAGACACGAGGATCACTTGAACCCAGAAGGTGGAGATTGCAGTGAGCCAAGAACATGTCACTGCACTCTAGCCTGGGTGACTAGAGTGAGACTCTGCCTCAAAACAAAAAACCTGAACAAAACAAAAAACTGTCTAAAGACAAAGCAATCAACAGAGTCAGATTCAGAGAAGACCCAAATGTTGGAGCTAGGAAACAGGGAGGGATGGGCTTTAGGAAAATATTTTGAACTTAAAATTCATAACATCAAAATCTGTGGGATGCTAATGACTCCAGGCACAAAAGAAAATCTATAGAATTAAATGATGATATTAGGAATAAAGGGTCCAAAATCAATGATCAATGTTTCTGCTTTCAGAATCTAGAAAAAGGTCTACACCTGTAATCCCAGCACTTTGGGAGGCTGAGGCAGGCAGATCACGAGGTCAGGAGATCAAGACCATCCTGGGTAACACGGTGAAACCCTGCCTCTACTAAAAATACAAAAAATTAGCCAGACATGTGGCACGTGCCTGTAGCCCCGCTACTTGGGAGGCTGAAGCAGGAGAATCATTTGAACCTGGGAGACGGAAGTTGCAGTGAGCCGAGATCGTGCCACTATACTCCAGCCTGGGTGACAGAGTGAGACTCCGTCACCACAAAAAAAGAAAAAGAAAAAGAATCTAGAAAAAGATCAAATTAAGCACAAACCAAGCAGAAGGAAATAAAGAACAGAAATCAATGAAAGAGAAAACAGAAAAACACTAGAGAAGAAATTAAAAGTAAATGGGTTTTATGAAAAGATCAATAATAAATAAACCTACAGTCAGACTGACGAAGAAAAAGAGATGACACAAATTACCACTATCAGAATTAAAGAAGAAACATGATCACATAGATATCTTGGTAAAACTGACTGAAGAAGCAAGAGAAAACATGAAATATCCTATATTTATTTTTAAAATTTTCCCAAAAGAAAATTCCAGAACCAAAATGATTTCACTGATGAATTATATCAAACATTTAATGAAGAAATAATACCAATCTTAACCAAACTTTTTCAGAAAATAAAGGATCACTTCTTAATTCATTTTATGAAGCCAAAATAAACTTGATACCAAAAGCTGACAGCAGTTTGAGAAATAAAAACTACAGATCAATATCCCTCATGAACACAGATACAAAACCCTCAATAAAATATTAGCAAAGTAAATCCAATAATATATAAAGTATAATATAAATATAATGCCAAGTAAAGTTGATCTCAAGAATGCAAGATTGCTTTAACATCTGACTATCAACACATTTCATAATATTTCTTAAAAAAAAAAAAAAGGAGAGAAAAAATCATCTGTTCATCTCAACAAATAGAAATAACACCTGACAAAATTCAACATCCATTCATAATAAACACTCAGCAAACGAGAAATGGAAGAAAATTTCTTCAAACAGATAAAATCCATCTAATCTGCCCCCCATATTTAACATTATACTTACTGTTAAGATAGTGAATGCTTTCTTTCTAAGATTAGAGACTAGGCAAGGATGACCACTATAACCACTTATATTCAGCATTGTACTAGAAGTCTTAGTTAATAAAATATGGCAAGAAAACTACATGACTGTGTATACAAAAAAGCCAAATGAACCTATCTATAAGAGAATTACCAGAAGGAAGAATTTGTCAAGGTCATAGGGTAAAAGGCCAACATTCAAAACTTGATTGATTTTCTCCAGGCCGGGCTCGATGGCTCACACCTGTATCCCAGGAGTTTGGGAGGCTGAGGTGGGCGGATCATCTGAGGTCAGGAGTTTGAGACCAGCCTGACCAACATGGTGAAGCCCCATCTCTACTAAAAATGTAAGAATTAGCTGGGCATGGTGGTGGGTGCCTGTAATC